TGAAACCCCGTCTCTACTAAAAAAAACAAAACATTAGCCGGGCGTGGTGGCGGGCGCCTGTAGTCCCAGTCACTCGGGAGGCTGAGGCAGGAGAATGGAGGCTGAGGCAGGAGAATGGCGTGAACCCGGGAGGCGGAGCTTGCAGTGAGCCGAGATAGCACCATTGCACTCCAGCCTGGGCGACAGAGCGAGACTCCGTCTCAAAAAACAACAACAACAACAACAAAAATTAAGTATTCAAGTTCAATTTTAAAAAATGACTTAAAGGGTTAAGAAAAGCACAATAAATTTAAAATAATTCACCCTTTGTAAATTAAAGGAAATAAAATGTTAGGTAGGATTAAGGGCATGATTATTTATATATTAAAGACAGGTAAGAAGAAATTAAACCATTCAGTGTAATGATAGATTTACATTAGGTAAAAGACAAAAACAACCCTAAAATCTTGGGTTGCTAGCTGGGAAGGAATATTCAGTAAAAATACCCAGAAAAAGAAATGTCAGGCAGTAATGCTATATATTTCTAAATATACTACTACTAAGCAACAAAAGTTCAAAGCAGGCCGGGTACAGTGGCTCACGCCTGTAATCCTAGCACTTTGGGAGGCCGAAATGGGTGGACTGCCTGAGCTTAGGAGTTTGAGACCAGCCTGGCCAACATGGTGAAACCCCGTCTCTACTAAAATGCAAAAAATTAGCCGGGCATGGTGGTGCCCGCCTGTAGTCCCAGCTACCTGGAGGCTGAGGCACGAGAATTGCTTCAACCTGGGAGGCAGAGGTTGCAGTGAGCCGAGATCATGCCACTGCGCTCCAGGGTGGGCGACAGAGGGAGGCTCTGTCTTCAAAAACATAAAAATAAAAATAAATTTAAAAAATTCAAAGCAGTTTTCATACTTAGTATAATTGAGAAATGAGAAAAACTGCATCAATTATAATAGTGTTTTGGGGATTAAATTCAGTAACTCCCTCTTAAGATTTAAGGTTGTGCCACCTTTTCTTAGCATTTTTGTCAAGTAAAAGTTTTTTTGATGTTGCTTTAACTTTTTTTCATGTTCCTATTCTCTCTACTTAAGCAGAGTTAGCAGTGACAGTTTTCCTTAATCACATCTTATATGTTTTGCATTAAAATATGCCTTTTAAAATGTTATCCATAATTAAAATGTTATCCATAGAAAAGTTATCCTATTTTCTCTAACGTAAGCATAGTTAGTAGTGATGTTTTCCTTATTTGATCGAATATTTACTTTTTGCATTAAAATGTCTTTTAAAATGTTATCCATAATTGGATATCCATAATATCCAATATACATGTCTTACTTTACTGTAAACTTATGATTATCTTTACTGTTGGCTTATGATTTGCTTAAATTTGGAGAAACTATGACTTATTTAACTAGAAGTCTCCTAGGCACGCATACTGCTTGCTTTTCCTTACTGAAAATTATGCTGATTTTTCTTCTGTATGTGGTCCTGTTTGATTCCAGTGCTAGCGACCTGATCTAGGCAAATTTCACAGGACTTCCTAACTCCAGTCCCTCTCGGTTATAGGCTGTCTTACAGCTGCTGCCATAATTTGTAATTCTTCCTTGCTGCAGAGCCTAGATAATTTCAGACTGTTCAGTCCAGCGTATGCTACAAGCACCTGATTCCTCCACCTCAATCCTGCCCCTCTTCTCTTGCTACCTGCCACTCTTACTTCTGCACCTGGCCTCTCCATCATCTTCTGCTAAATGAAATTCTCATTCTTGTAATAAAAGAAACCCAATACCTTTCCAATCATCCCTACTCCCCTTGGGTCACTTTTCTGTTTCTCCTTATCACCAATGAAACCAGTTTTTACTTAATTACTTTATTTCCATATATTCTCATAACCATACATTTATATATTTGCCTACATCCCCACCAGTTTATAAACTTAGTAAAGTAAGGGTCTTAATCTTCTACTGAAATCCTATTTCAAAAAAATCCTTCAGTAACTGACTCAAGATGTACAACTTTATCTTTTATGTGATTTTTTTAAACTGTTAAAAATACATGAAAAAAAAAAAAAAAAGAAACGGAATGTACCAAATATTAATAGCAGTTACCTCTGGAAAATTTCAAAATGGGAGTTGGAAGGGGCAGGAGTAGGGTTGGTCGTAGTAATGTACCTCAATACATACCCGTTACCTAAAATTGTGACTGGCACATGGGTCTTCAATTAATATTTGTGGAATGAATGGTCAGAGTCTAAATGTTCAGTTAACAGTATGAATGTTTTTTGGTAAGTTCGTTTATAATCTTTAGTACTTCTTAAATATTCCATAACGAACTTGGATTTATCATAAAAAACTCACACTAAAAAAGATACACAAGCAAATCTGACATGGAAAGCATGACAACCAAATTTGACATGGATCAAGTTTTAAGATTCAGCGCAAGGTTTGATCCCAGTATCTTAAAACTTTTTGGAAGACAAGTCCTCTATTGAAAGCAGATGGCTTTTAAAAACATCTAATGATACAGAATCTTGAATTGACAAACTAAATGTTGTCATAATTATTTCCTCCAAAGAAATTCTTAATCTCATGCAAAATACCTAGCTGTTGCATCCTGTTCTGTGGCTTCAAATACTATCAATATAGTGATTCCCCATTTCATTTTTAATACTTTTTTTAGAGACAGGAGCTGGCTCTGTCTCAAGTGATCCTCCTGCCTCAGCCTCTCAAGTAGCTGAGACTACAGGCGCATGGCAACCCACCCAGCTAATTTTTATTTTGTAGAGATGGGGTCTTGCTACATTGCCCAGGCTGGTCTCAAAATCTGGGGCTCAAGTGATTCTTCTGCCTTGGCCTCCCAAAAGTGCTGGGGTTACAGGTGTCAGCCACCATGCCTGGCCTAGTGATTCCACATTTTAATTTTCTCCCCTAAACTCTACACTCATATGTCCAACTGCCTACTACACAATGTCTGTTAGAATTATTAATAGGAATCTCAAAACTCAATTATGTTCAAGGCAGGATTTGATTTATACCCTCCAATTTGCTCCTCCATTGGTTTTCTTAAATCGCAGTAATGGCAGCACCACCCCTCTCACACCAAACATTGGAGTCATCTTTTGATCTTTTTCTTCTTGTTCACATCTAATCCATCACCAAGTCTTATCAGCTCTATCACTAAAACATACCCCAATTCTGACTTCTCCCCATGACTATCACCCCAGTCCAAGGTCCCACCATCTCTCACCTGGATGACTATAAAAGTCTTCCTTACCTTGTTCCTCTAGTCTTTTCTCCACTGACCAGTGAAATTTACAACACACCACACATCTCCTTTGCTTAAAACTCTCCAGTGGCTTCCCATCACACTCAAAACAACATCCTAAATCCCTCACTGTAGGTGTATAGCCCTAAATGGTCAGGCTCTTGCCAATCTCTGGAACTTCATCACCCACTATTCTCCTCCACTCAATGGACTTACCTTACCGGCATTCTTTATTTCTCAGCAAATAATTCCATTTGTGCTTTGGGGACTAGTTTTATTGTTCTCTTCATCTCAAACGTTTGTTCTTTGATCTTGGTCTAATTTTCTTATCATTCAAGCTTACGAACCTATAAAATTGTGCCCCAGTCCCTCCACCACCATATTCTGCCTCATTTTACTCATAGCTTCGGAAATTACCATTTCATTGCTGTCTTATCTACTATAATTCAATAAACTCTGGAAGGCAGTAAAGCTTGGTCTTGTACCCCAATGTACACCCAATACTTAAAATAGTGAGTGGCACACGGGTCTTCAATAAATATTTGTTGACTGCATGGCTGAAGAGAGTCTTAATGTTCAATAAAGCGTCCAGGGCATGAAAACAAAACAGTTGCTCCAACTCACCTATACTTTGCAATAGCAACCTCTCCTCCCATCCCCAACAAATAACCAGCTACCTCCCACAAAATTTCCACCCCAAACCTCTTTAGAATATACTATTTTAAAAGTCTTATGTTCTGGATCAGCTGTTGCAAAATTATACAACAAAACCAGAGCCTCAAATATAGGTAGCTTTTATGCACATGGGCCAAGCAGCACTGCCCTCTTTGGAACTTTCTTACCCTCAAGTCAGCCCTTGGTATGCATTTCTATCTAATTTCATCTAAGTAAAACTGTATGTGCTGGGGTACAGGTAAGCAAACAAATCAGTGCTATTTGCTTTATGTTAACACTGTCAAAGGCGGACCTGGTTCTGTATCCTTCTTAGGAGGGTCCTATGGCCAGGCGCGGTGGCTCACACCTGTAATCCCAGCACTTTGGGAGGCTGAGGTGGGCAGATCCCCTGAGGTCAGGAGTTCAAGACCAGTCTGGTCAACATGGTGAAACCCCGTCACTACTAAAAATACAAAAATTAGCCAGCCGTGGTGGTGGGCACCTGTAATCCCAGCTGCTCAGGAGGCTGAGGCAGGAGAATCACTTGAACCTAGAAGGCAGAGGTTGCAGTAAGCCAAGATCGGGCCACTGCACTCCAGCCTGGGTGACAAGAGTGAGACTCTTGTCACCAAAAAAAAAAAAAAAAAAAAAGGAAGGTCTTGATTCAATCATAGGCTCTTTGGCTTGACTAAAAAGCAGTATTTGCTATAAAAATAGGAGATCTAAGACCAGTCTCAATAAAACTTACCAAATTAGTGCTTAATGCCAGAGAGAAAAGAAAGATTTGAAATAAACATAAATAGCAACCAGATCAAAATGTGAAATAAAAAAATTCTTAAGCTTTGGATTTTGTCAAATGAAGCTTAAAATTCAAGTATCAGTTCTTATGGTTCCAGCCATTACAAATCTTATGTAAACATGAGAGCTAAAAACAGATTGGTGTGTGGGGAATGATTATAATGATTATTTGGGCTCAAGTTTTGTCTAAGAAACATAAATTTAATGATAACTCTTAGTAACTATTTAATCCAAGCTGTTTTGCTTCAAATATTTTGTACTGTGTTTAGCCAGAAAAGAAAATACAGATGAACGCTTTCTCTTTGTAAGGTGACTGTATTATAAACAAGGCTGAAGTAGCAAGACTAAACTTTTAGTGCAGATAATAAAATTTGAATAGTACAAGAATACTCTTCAGGTAGTATCTATAGGATAAGATCTCTAAATGTTTTTGTATCAGGTGGCAATGCCATCTAAGGTAATATTAACATAAATGTATATATGTGCATACATACACACTTACACACATAGGCGAAGGGAGAGGGGTGTGTGTGTGAGAGAGAGAGAGTGTGTGTGTGTGTGTGTGGAAGAGAATGAAGAGAATGAATAAGAATGGGTACAAATCAAAGCAACCTTTTCTTGGGTTAATTATTTCAACTATAAAGATGTATCTCAACTTCTAAAGAAATTCCTGGTTTGTATTTAAATGCACTTTAAAAAGACCATAACACACTCAAATTTAGTTGACAGGCTACAATGGGATTCAGAAAAGGACACAGTGAATATAGACTTAGGTGCAAGTTCATGCTGGTGATTTTTGTTTTTGAAAATGTAAGCCACTAATATTTTAAGAAAAAAATTTAAACCAAAAATTGCATATTAATATTATACAGAAACTGAAACATAAATGACTTTTAGCACAGTGTATACATGCTTACATAAACTCAAACACATTTAAAACAATTTCCATTTAACATATGAAAGTTTTGAAATACATAAAAGCATTAATACTTTCTATAAAACTACAGTTAGAACATCAATTTGCTACAAGCATATAAAAACATCAAGTGCTTTCTTGGAGTTTCAAGTTTCCTCTCTAAAACACAATCTTGCTCACATATATAGTCCTTTTCCAATAATCAGTATGAACTTTTTGTTTCTCAAGAGGTTTATTTTCCAGGTACATTATAAGCTCAAGAAAACAGACCCAACAATTATGTGATATAATTATGTCATAACAACTTAATTGCACATAATGCTTTAAAGTAGGTTTGGATGAAGTTCTCAAATACTTTGGTATATGATCTTCAGGGACTTTAATTAGAAACAACAGAAATTCTAAGTCCCTTCAATCCCCATTTTGCTTTAAAATGGACAAGTCTTTGGTTAAAGTTCTACATTTTGGGCATTTATTTTTAATTGAGATGGTCCCCAAACCAATAAATGGTACTGATGTATTACAAATTCACAAGACTTCATTTAACCTGCTTCTGATGCAGTGGGAGGTTACAGATACTCATTTACTATAATATGTCATTGGATAGTTTCAATCTTTCACTTATAAGCAGAGAAATCAATAGATTTATTACTTCTCTGTCAGTTTTCTGTTATAACCTAAACTGTACAGTAATTTGCAGTAACTATACTGCTCCACAGTATATATAATTATGACTCATAAGATGTAGAGCATTAAATTTAGTTAGCTTATTTTGATAAGTCAATATTAGACTGTACAGTAACTCTGCATTAACTATGAAAAGGTTGTTAGTTAATGCTTATTTAAAAACCCCAAACCATTCCATTTACAAGAGAAATTGTTGCAAATGTATAAAACAGCAGATATACAAGGAGAACACCAAACATACTTTATTAGCACAAAAAAAGCAGCCATAACAAGGCACAGCAAGCAGAAACATACATTAGCAGTCAAAGGGTTAGTGTTGCATACAAATATAGCTCTTCTTTTTTGTAGCCTTGGCAATAGCCATAGGGATGTAAAATAACATTCTGTAGCAGCAGGTAAGGAAACTATGGAGCACTCACCAGTGGTACAGAGCACATTAACAAAAAGACACAAGAATGGATTCGGCTACTGTAGTGCAAAATGTCTAGGACAGAACTGTAAATTCAGTTCAGTTACTAAGAAGCAAACACTAGAACTTGATATAACTTCCAAAAGAGTTCACTCAAGTAGTAGTACATATTATTCTAAGTGACAAAAAGGTGCTAAGTAAAGTTATTTACAGATATAATGGTTGTACAGTACCTTTTAAATCTGCAATTTAGGTTTCAGATTTTCCATTAAGAATTAACTGCACTGAAATTCTATAAATTATACTTAAGCAATTCAGCTATGAGAGCTTACAAAAAAGAGACAAATTCTGCCATCCAAATTATTAATTACAGTTCAACAATATCTCAACATCAGCAACCACTGTAGTTACTATTATCTGACTTGTTTGGGCATCTTCTAGTCTCATGTACTTCATGGCTCACAAAATCATCCTGGGCATAGGAACAGATCCAACTTTTAGGAAACAACAATTAGACTGCACATCAACTTAAAAAAAAAAAATCACACGCAAGACTACATTGCAGCAGCTATTCCAAACGCCTGTTTTAAGTTAAAGCACTCATTTAAAAAATTAACACCTAGGGCCTTTCAATAAAATTCTACTACTAGCTTTGTAAGTCTGAAATTTTAAGAATGACTATTTAGAAAATCTGGTTTACTTAACAGTACCTTTTGCAGAAGAGAAAAGGCGTCTGATTATAAACTACATCAACACGTAAGTGAACTGCACTATGCCCTTGTGGCCAGAAAATTGCATTATTTTCTAAAAGGAAGGCAGTCTTTTATTCTTTTTGGACTTCCAAAGCTTGATTTATAGTAACTACAAACATCACTATTTTTGGAAGGTTATAGAAAAACTCTTAGAAAAAATAATTTCAAACATTCGTCACACTGTTGAAATACTCATCCAATATTAATAATTTGTTCTTCAGTAAGAAATAGAATTCTTCATAACAAATGCCCCAGAGTTGCCTCACTCAAACACTACAGCCATTAAAAACCAAACTGTTAGCGAAATCGGCAAAATGTTTTTGTAGTCTTACTTAACACCTGTAGCTCTATCCTCTGGTGTTCCAATAGGCACCATGTTTATCTGAATAAGTAACAGCAGGTCGCATCTGACAGATACTAACACTAAGCTTACATACTGTATGAAAAAGCCTAACACTGCTACGTGTGCTTGCTATAGGTGTACTGTCTGATGCACATGAAAGCGGACCTAGTTAACACCCTTTGGGGACCGGAAAGTTTACTTTGCCTTGACTGGTTCTCGTTCTAACCAGCGAACTCTAACTTTCTGTTTATAATGATACTCTTTTAAAAAATCCTGTAACATGGAGGGTAGAGGGAGCCCATCAATTCCATCATACGTAGTGCACCTGCAGATTACCGCGCGACAAATATACTGCAGGCTAAAAGGAAAAGTCCTATTTAGTGATATAGTAAGCAATGGTTCAAAAAACATGCACGAACTGGGATCTTTATAATGTTCTAAAAGTCCTGTTACAGTGGAGGAGTGAAATACACAGGGGTCATGGGCATCGAAACTAAAGTTGTGATTCCACTGCTCAATTCGGGCATGCAGGGATCTGTTGTAGCGGCGGAAGCTCACAGAGAAGAGGTAGTCCTCTTGCGCAGAGTCCCTGAGCAAAAACGTGCCTTCGGGTTTCCCTTCGAGAAGGGCTTCTGCTTCATAACGGTCCATCACTCCCCAGTAACAGGGATTCCCTGTAATTTGAAGCAAATCAGGCACGAGGCAGTGTATGTAATCAATCTGTGTGTGGACTTTCCAAGCTCCCTGTCTGCTAACATGGGTATGGCTGTCTCCAGATATCTGACGCTGCTTCTGCCTCCGTGACTGCAAACACAGGGTGGTTGTATCCTCTTCCGAGTCACAATTAGCTTGTGGAATTGCAGAACTGTCCCCACTTATTTCAGTCATTCCAGGAGCTAACTTTGGTCCCAGTTTATATAATGGATTAACCTGTGCAGTAGCTTCAAATGTATGTATTTGTGCATTGGGAGGGGGATCAACCCCTTCTTCAATACTAAGCCGCCTTCTCTCTCTAAGCCTATCTTCTTCATCTTCTGTAGAAACCAAAGATGGATCAAATGTATCAAAAAATGTTGAATGTGGGCTCACAGGAGCTGTATGCTGTTTAATCAAATGCCATTTTTGGGCTAAATCTGAGCCAGCAGGAAATGGGCATTTCTCAAGCATTAATTCAGACAGATGGATTTTTCTTTTATTGGAAAAGAGAGGCTTTGACTGCTTGCTGTAAGTTCTCATGGGAAAACACAAGCCCACAGTATCCTGCAACCTCTGTCTCAGAGAGCGACTTCCTACAGTTCTGCTGGAAACACTGTCCATGTCGTGTACAGAACTTACGCCGTAGCGCCTCTCTCTCCTTTGAAGTCCACTTCGAGTTCTACCAAACTTCTTATCAGCATCCAATGAACTCTGGGTCTTTGTAGAACAGGAATGTTTTTTCTTCCCACCCCATGGAGCATGTCGAGAGTAGGAATCTCTTCGTGCAAGTCTTGTTCCTGGGGTAACACAAGAATCATTATCCTTTTCGATGCTTATTTCAACAATTTGAGGGATTTCTGTGGCACAATTTTGATTTCTCCTTGAAGAATTCTTTGAAGGGCTTAATCCCAGTTGTAAGGCAACATTTTCTCTTAAGGGACTGCTTTGTTGCTGAGGAGTTGAGTCTCCTATGCTGATGTTTTTCTCTCTGACAGACAAACATCTGTTGGAGTTCATGTCCACATTTTCACTACGGCTTCCTCCCTCATGACCGAAGAGATTCTGACACCTGTATTTGAAGTTATTCCACATTTTCCCCACTTTATCCATTGATTATAAAATCTAAAGACAAAACAGGAAAAAGAGAAAAATAAATTAATCAGAGTAGCATGTGAAGGTAGCTAAGGCAGTGCCCACGTCCCTTTCCATTCGGAATTTCAGTGATACTGGCCAAGAGTTCATCTACACTGCCCTGCTGAAGTGATGAGGCGTGTGTTCTGTTGGGCAGCAGGAAGGTCACTGGGCCTTTTAGGCACTGACCTTGTTCAAGCCAGTCCTTACTTCCCATTTCCTTTCAGGCAGAATATTCTGAACTCAGGTGAAAGGAAATAAACGCTCTTAAACTCTGGTTTCTTTTTCCCGTGCTTCAACCTGTCTCCTTAATTTGAATATTACAAAGGCAAAATATGTTCCATATTGTTGAAACACATTTGTATTCAACTTTTCAAAAGTTATAACCAGGACCACATTTTGTAACACATTAAAATTAGTTCAAAAACCTTTCATTAGTAGCAATCTTCCCAATTTCACTTAACCAGTTCCTTGCAATTCTAAGGTTTACAGGTTCATCACTTGTGAAAAACCCGTATCTTCCCTCCCACCCTGTAATGCATCAAATTTATCCATGATTTTGAAGAAGCAGTTTGAGTAGAAAAGAAAGAAAAATAATGTAATATTTAGGAAAGGTGTCTTTTTTTTTTTGAGAAGTCGTCTTGCTCTGTTGTCCAGGCTGGAGTGCAATGGTGAGATCTCGGCTCACTGCAACCTCCATCTCCCAGATTCAAATGATTCTCCTGCCTCGGCCTCCCGTGTAGCTGGGATTACAGGCATGCACCACCACGCCTGGCTAATTTTTGTATTTTTAGTAGAGACAGGATTTCACCATGTTGGTCAGGCTGGTCTCGAACTCCTGACCTCAGGTGATCCACTGGCTTTGGCCTTCCAAAGTGCTGGGATTACAGGTGTGAGCCACCATGCCCGGCCAGGAAAGGTGTCTTAAGCTTTCCAATTCTTAATACTGGAAGAGTTTGGAAATTATAATAGAGTAATAGAAAGAAAGGCTATGGTACTATAGTAATCACAAAAACAAAAACCAAACACATACAATTTGGCATCTTTATTCTTGTTCCTTAAAAAAAATCTAGGCTGGGCATGATGGCTCACACCTGTAATCCCAGCACATTGGGAGGCCGAGGCAGGTGGATCATGAGGTCAGGAGATCGAGACCATCCCGGCTAACACGGTGAAACTCTGTCTCTACTAAAAATACAAAATATTAGCCAGGCGTGGTGGCGGGCACCTGTAGTCCCAGCTACTCGGGAGGCTGAGGCAGGAGAATGGCGTGAACCTGGGAAGCAGAGTTTGCATTGAGCCGAGATCGCGCCACTGCACTCCAGCTTGGGTGACAGAGCGAGACTCTGTCTCAAAAAAAAAAAAACAAAAAACACTAAAGCAGTGTATGATACTTTACAAATAAATTCTTTTAAGACTACAATATCAACAGGCACACTGTCTAGTTCAGTAACTACAAATCAACATTAGAAGAAATGGAAGAACCTAAACTTAAAATTCAATTGGTTTTGTCACATTATGATAGCAGAAAACTTTGGCTGATCTTGAACTTTGACTAGTTATTTTTGTCATAAACGCTTATATTTTCAAGAAGTTGACTAGGAATAAGAGAATAACAGAGAATAAACTTTCTTAGAATGAACTGTAGGTCTTCCCATTAGTTTCTCACAGAAAGGGCTCTTGGACTAATGGAAACACAACATAGAAAATTAATGTCCATGATATCATAAATGTACTTTCAGATGATTTAATTCTTTATTAAAAGCACACTGTCAGGCACATATGAAGTTTGCATGGTAGTTGGCATATATTATAATAAAATGTATTAGACAGAACTGTTACATCTCAGCAAAGTCTACTTTAGAACACAGCCTCCTCTGTCTTGCAAAAATCTTTCTCGTAAGCCTTTTTATGAGGTTTATGCCATTTGAACTTCACGTGCCTTGTTATCATTTATTCTTCTTCTTAAATTAAGATTTCAGCTCCTTGCCCATAGTCCTGTTAATACAGCCGAATTCCTGCCATATTCTTGGTGACTTCATTGTCTTTGTAGATGTTCTCTTCCAATATCCTAGCCCCTTTCTATCCTGGTTTCTTCTCATTTATTTTAAAGTTAGTTTTTATTTTTACCTAATTCACATATTTGTAGTTTGAAGGTCAAATACCACTACAAGACTCTTAACAAAAAATAGCACCACCACCCACCATGTGACTACTAGAAAATTGAAAAGTAACATATGTGACTCAGGTTACATTTGTATTGAACATTACTGATGTACAGCAAGGGCCGGCAAACCAAAGTCTGAAGGCCAAATCTGGCCCATGGCCTGTTTTTGAAAGGATCCCAGCTCAGAAAAATTTTTACATTTTTAAAGGGATTAAAAAAACATACACACACAAAGAACATTTGACAGAGACCACCTATAGTCTGCAAAGCCTAAAATATTTTCTATTTAGCCCCTTTCAGAAAAAGTTTACTGACCCTACTCTACCTATTTGAGATAAACCACATCACTCTAGACACTAGAAGAGCCGTATTCAAGAAGTTCAAGAATTTAACTCTCTTCTCTGTGTTTATAAATTTTGTAGCTATCTAAAGATACTTCTCTGACAGGCAAATTATACCCAAAAAATAACTTTTAAAAAGTGACCTAACCTAAAACCACTCATCTCTTTATATAGCTCTTTATAAGTTGTATGTAGTATGATATGCAGAAAACATCTGTACTTGCCAAGGCACAAAAGGCAGTTTCTAACACTGAACCCTCCGGTTCAGTTTCACAGAGCATGAAATTTAGTTACTTCTGTATTCTTATTCTGGAGCATGTTATCAGATTGTGTCTCACTCCATGGAGAAAGACAGTTGATTTTTCTTGACATGTGAAATGTGATGTGGGCAGTTTTAATATCAGGAAGGAAAAAATACTGACAGTAATTCATAGACTAGTCGACATTAACAATCAGGAAGGCATTTCAACTATCTTGGTATTAACAATGTCAGATTCAAAGCTCTTTTGTTTGTTTTGTTAAATTTTTAGAAATGTGTTTAGGACAGAGCTGAAACCCTTTGAGATCTAAATTACAACTCTATTACTTTATGGTTTTATATAAAATTACACAGGGCTAAAAAAAGTGTAAAATTTCAATTGCACTGATTCTAGAATAAAAGTTTATCATCCATTACAATCTCTTAGATTTCTACACATGCTTAGCTATTCTGAAAACTATCCAAAGCAAATTTCTAAAAAGTTATTCTTTCCCCCAAAGAATAATAATTTAAAACTGATTTTATAATGCTTTTGGAAGTTAAATAGCTTTTGTTGAAAAATTATATTTAACTGGATAAGCTACAAATTAGAATTATGGAAAATTAGGTCAAATTCCATCACTACATAAATTTACATATATAAAAATGAAATAGTACAGTCAATGGCCCTTCTTAATGCCAAGTAGTATCTATTATAAAATTTACACAAAACAAAATAATTGAAATAGTTCCCAGGAGTTTATTTCAATGGGACTTAACCCATGCTTTATGAGAAATAAATTAAGTTGAATGTGTTTTAAGAATACATTGAGAGAGAACTATTAAACTTACATAATTATAACAGTTATATTCTTAAAATATACAGTTATAACATAACAGTTATATTCTTAATGTTGAATGCCATAAAGAGGAAGAATGTGACAACTCAAATCCTTCCTCTTCTTCAGTCTATCTAGACTTCTTAGCCATAACACCTTTCCATTAGAAAGTCCTTCAGTTACAGTAACAAAAATTGGGACAGGTAGACTGATTAAAAGTATTTCTGTATCAAATTCAGGCACAAGAGGCAGTTCAGGAGACAAGTTCTGATTGATATTTTGGTGGCATTTCGATAATTTTTAGAAAAAGATAATACATTTGACAGTAAAACTGACCCAGAATTTCAGGAATGTGTGGCTGTCATAGCTATAGCTTCTTAAAAGAATCTAAGAATCACCTGGCTTTTTAAACATGATTTATTTTTGATTGTTATTTACACATCATATTGTGACATGATCAATTATTATCTAATTGGATGGCCATTTATCCTTTATACTGTTATTTAATATTAGGTTGAACTATATAAAATTGCTATTTTGTGGGTAAAACATAAACATATAATTCAACCTCAGAGTTACACTATTACAGTGTACATAATACGTTAATGCAGTAGACCATGTACACTCAAAAAAAAGGTCGAGCCCTCTAATCTAGTATACCCAGACACTTCGGGTTCCTAGCAGTGAGTTACACTTTTAGTTGTGTTTGGTTCCAAACTTGTTCATAGCATTATATTATTGTAACTGTGTGATTTAATTAAATGTTAAGTAACGTAATGAAGTATGGAAGAGTGGGGAGTTTTATATAAATGACTCTGAAATATTCAATAAAAGTGAAATACTTAACGCTGCTGAATTAGGTATAGGCCAAGAAAATAGTTCAAAGAAATGGAAAAAATACTGCAAAGATCTATAAGGATTCTAAACTAAGAATTCATCTGAAGAGCCTAAATTCTTGTTCTACTTAAAAAACCCAAACTGGAATCTTACATGATACATTATGGGCATGGCTTCCCCAACACAGATAATATGGATCTACAACAAGTAGACCTACTCTGAAAGAAAAGGCCTTGGCTCCTTCAGAGGTGTTCGAACTGGAGCAACCCCATCTTGAATAGGGACTGGGTAAAATGAGGCTGAGATCTACAGGGCTGCATTCCTAGGAGGTTAGGCATTCTAAATCACAGGATAAGAGAGGAGGCTGGCACAAGATACAGGTCACAAAGACCCTTGATAAAACACGATTGTGGTAAAGAAACCAGCTAAAACCCACCAAAACAAGATGACAACCGAAGTAACCTCTGGTTGCCCTCACTGCTCATTATACATTAATTATAATGCATTAGCATGTTAAAAGACACTCCCACCAGCACCATGACAGTTTATAAATGCCACGGCAATGTCAG